CTGAGGCCAATACTGTTCCCATCCCTGGCTAATTAATGGTCAGAAGGAATTTGATGGAGGTTTAATCCACATGAGGACTATGCAAATGGATTTTGGGCTTTCCTCGCTATCCATTGCTTTCTGAAAAGGGGGTGCTCAGAAATGTAAGGTCTCATATGAACCAAAAAACCAAACTCACTGCATCGAATGGATTCTGACTCATAGTGACCCTACAGGTCAGGTTAGAACTGCCCCTGTGGGTTTCAGAGACTGTAAATCTTACCAGGTAGAAAGTCTCATCTTTCTCCCTCAGAGCAGCTGTTGGTTTTACACTGTATACCTTGAGGTGGTTATATGCTGAGCTGTTCACTCCAAGGTCATCCATTCTAAACCACCAGTCACTCCAAGGGAGAAAGACAGGGCTTTCTACTCTGTGAAGAATTACAGGCATTTCTAGCCTGTCCAATCAGGTGGGTACGCGTGAGTCGGCTCGCACTCCGGGGCAGGGAGTGTGGTTTGCGTCTGGAGGCAGTTTCACAAACCCAGACCCTGTTCCCTCTGCCACAGACTCCTGCCTGGTCCCCTTTGGATCTTCTTGAGGGAAGAAGCATCTCTTTCCTAGGAGGAAGAGATCTGCTTCATGTCTTAATTCATTCACGACATGGGATGAGTCATCCCAATGAGATTTCATTATTTCACACTCACTTCTTGGAATCACCATGCTGGGGGTGGGCCCAGTTGCAATTTCTCTAGAAGATTGGCTAACCACCTTGTTCTACCAGTCATTTTGATGCATTTGTGTCTCTCAACCGAATTCTTCAAAGTTCCCGTTGTATTTATTCTGTGTGTCCAGGTTCAGCACCATGTGCTCCGTAGAAAGAGGTCCCAAAGCTAATGCTGAGTTAATGGGAAGAAATAATAAGTGCTCTTTTCCATGGTTCTCTCAAACCAAACTCACTGCCATCCAGTCAATTCTGACTCATAGCGACCCTATAGAACAGGGTTCTGTGCCTCCATTTGCAACTGCACTACCTGTGGGACACTTAACCTGTGGACTGTGTCACTGTAACTTGACGGTTCCAAGAATCGCCCCTGCAGGAGTCCAAGCCTGTAACCCCGTGTGGGTAGAAAGCCTCGTCTTTGTCCTGCAGAATGGCTGGTGGTTTCCAACTGCTCACCTAGCATACAAACTCACTACATCCCAGGGCTCCTTAGATCTCCAAAAAGAGAGAGAAGGAAACTCTCTCTGAAAAGAAGCTTCCCTGATGATAAAGCAATTGCTCAGACGTTCCTTTAGCATTCAACTATCTATTGTTGGCTAGCAGAAATAGCGCGACTGCCAATAGATGATCAATAGCCACCAAGCATGTTTCCTATGTGCTTCCTAGGAAACCACTGACTCCCGGTAGCCCTTGGCTGTGGTAGAATCGTCATCTCTGCAGCTCTCGAAGTTAGAACTGCAGGTGCCTATGGTGCAGAAAAGCACAGGCTCACTGATGGTAACAATGCCCAGCAGTTTGACAGAAGTTCTTTCCAGTGTGTTTGTCTCACTTCTAGAAGAAATTGTACATGCTGCCACTTCCCAGAGGCCTGAGCTACTCATAGAAGCCCATCTTGGTTGTGCGCTTCCTAAGGATGACACATGACGCACAGCATCTCGTGGAAACTACACAGCAACCCAGTGAGACAGGTAGCAGTGAGGATACCGATCCTCACTGTGCAGAAGAGGCCGTGGTAGGGTGGTTAGAGCAAGTGACTCACAGAGCCCCTGTATTAGTTTCCTAGGGCTGGGAACTGCTTATAGGAATTGAAACATATTCTCTCGTAGTTCTTGAAGTTAAGAGTCCAGCAGTTCTAGGTTTCTCCAAAGGTTCTAAATGGAGGTTCTTTCTTGTTTCATCAGCTGTAACTTCAGGGCCTTGCCATGTGGGCATCGCCACTGGGTTGCCTGAGTGTCCAAATGGCGTGCCAGGGGACTCCCAGGAAAGGAATCAAATGAGCAATGAGGAACGTGCCCTGGCCTCAAGTCACACAACACCATCTCTGCAGTGTGTTATTACACTTGACCTCGGCCAAAAGGCCCAGAAGCAATCCACAGTATATTTTTAAAATTACACA